TAGGATTTCTGGGAGTTGAAGGCCAAAACCATCTGGGAACCCCAGGTTGAGAAGCACTGCCCTAGGTTGTTATTTTGTTCCTATATCCCTCCTTGAATGCTTGGGTTTTTCTTCTTCCCTAAATTAATCACAAAGTTAATTGCTAGGCATGGTTAGGTACCATTGGAATCTTCGTAATTTGGAATAAAGTCGGAAAAATTACCTTTTTGAAGCAATTTTGAAATTTTTAAGAAAACCGGAAGTCCCATTGCCCTTCCGAAGCTTCTCTCACCATTTTTCTTCCGACTCAGGAAGTGAGTTGGAAGTGACTCATCATTTGGAGGCAAGCAGTTTGCATGCTGGGATGGTTGCCTTCCAGCCAATGAGGGAAGAAGTTTTGGGGAGGGGAGTGGCAAGGTTTCGGAATGGCAGACATTATGCTATATAAAGGGCAGCACATTGTGAGCCCGGGAAGGGAAGGGGAAAGAGAAAAGGAAGGGAGGTTGTAAAGGGAGGTTGGAAGAAGAGCGGTTGGAAGAGAAGGGCAAGCAGAGAAGGACTGGGAGCAGGGCTATTGCCTGCCTGCCTGCCTTGTAGCCGTTTGTGTGTTGTTGCTGTTGCGGGGGGGGGGGGGGGGGGCAGAGCAGAGCACCTGATGAACCAACCTGGACACAGCATATTATTTGAGAACACAGAAGTGCTGGACCACTCGCACAACCACCATGTCAGACTACACAGAGAAGCCATTGAAATCCACAAGCATGTGGACAATTTCAACAGAAAGGAAGAGACCATGAAAATGAACAAAATCTGGCTACCAGTATTAAAAAACTCTAAAATTAAAAAACTCTAAAATTACAACAGCAAAACAGCAGAGAGGAAACAACCAGGCACATCTTAACACCTCTCAACAAAAGATTTCCCCAGGCTCAGGCAGGCCTTCAAATGCTAATGAAGGTGGTCAGTTAAAACATTCACACCTAGCTCTAGCAGAGAAGAGCTCTTTGCCCCACCCCAGCCATTCCACAGATATATAAACCCATTGTCCTATTTCCAACAGACCTCACTACCTCTGAGGATGCTTGCCATAGATGCAGGCGAAACGTCAGGAGAAATGCCTCTAGAACATGGCCCTACAGCCCGAAAAAACCCACAAGAACCTAGTGATTCCAGCCATGAAAGCCTTCGACAATACAAAATATTATCCTTCCTAAAGGTGTGACCTGTTTGTGTTGCTACTGAGGAGACACTAGAAATCCCATATAGTCAAAATATTTTCCTTCCTAAAGGTGTGAAATCAACTTCAAAAAGCCAAAAAGGCCTCTCGCTGCTCTTGGTGTCCTTAGTTGATTTGTGTTGCTACTGAGGAGACACTAGAAATCCCATACTTATCAGGATTGGTCTAAAAATGAGGAAGAGAAAATCCTCTGAAGTTTGCCCAGTGCCATTTGCTGTTTTTTGTGTATTGTGAAATTGCGTCCGCCATTAACAAAGCAATTCTGAAATTTCAAAAATTTCGGAAAGTTCTGTTTTTTTTTCAAAAAAATTCGGAATTCAATTCCTAATCAAACCGCCAGCTCCCCCTGCATCCGAAATGAGTTGTGAACCTTTTTTTTAATCAACCAAGCCTAGTTATTTATTTATTTATTTATTTATTTATTTATTTATTATTCAAACTTATATGCCGCCACTTCCCTGGGGCTCGGAGCGGCTTACAAGAACAGGCTAAAATCTAACACAATTTAAAAACAATTTAAAACAATTTAAAAACAGCAATATCAAAGATGAATGGCCTGTCAAAACAGGTATGTCTTACATGCCCTGCGGAAAGCTAATAAGTCCCGCAAGGCACAGACTTCAGGTGGCAGAGTATTCCAGAGTGATGGTGCCACTGCTGTAAAGGCTCTGCATCTGGTTGCTGTTAGACACAAGGTCTTGACATTGGGAATTTCCAACAAATCTTGGTCCTCAGAACGGAGGGATCTCTGGGGTTGGTAGGGGGTGAGGCGGTCCCTCAGGTACATTTTCCCCAGACCATGCAATGCCTTAAAGGTGAGTACCATCACTTTGAAAGTGATCCGGCGCTCAATTGGTAACCAATGCAGCTGCAGTAAGATTGGTGTTATGTGGCATCTCATCGGAAATCCCGCAAGAAGCCAAGCAGCTGCATTTTGTACCAGCTTGAGCTTCCAGCTTGAGCTTAATTACATTAAGCCATGGAGCACAAAGTTATTAATACACTGTCAATCATATCTGGATGTGTGATGGTAACACTGAAGGTGAATAAGTACAATTAGGGGTTAATTTAAATGAATAAGCAAATCATTTCATGAGTGGAAGATATTGGGAAGGCAGTGCCAGTTCTGTTTTCAATCTTTATCATCTAACTGCAAACAGATCTTCCAGGGGAAAGGGGGAAATCTATGTCACAGAGCAGGAGTATTTCTGGAAATATTTTCGACCTTGGCTCTAAAACAAATGAGTGATAATCTGGCGTCAAAATATGTTCCTTTATGTCCATTGATTTCAATAGGTGTATATACACATGTACTTGGTGGAAATACATTAAAAATACATTAAAGTAGAAGTTACGTCAACTTTTTGAACGTATGTGTGAAGAGGTTCACTTAACCTGCATGAGAATTAAAATAATGCCTATATTATACTGTGTTATGGGAAATTTCATGGAAAGATTTTACATTCCAGAAAAGACTTTGTGTGAATTACTAAGAGCATATTGTGCTGATCATAGAATCATAGAATCAAAGAGTTGGAAGAGACCTCATGGGCCATCCAGTCCAACCCCCTGCCAAGAAGCAGGAATATTGCATCCAAATCACCCCTGACAGATGGCCATCCAGCCTCTGTTTAAAAGCTTCCAAAGAAGGAGCCTCCACCACACTCCGGGGCAGAGTTTGTGTTTTTCTCCCTGGGATCCTGTTAGCCTACCACGATTGCAATTCAGGGTCCAAGGATATTCAATAATGATTAGTTGATCGCTTAAAAATATTTTAAAATTAATAGACATATTTCTTATTTTTGCAGATTGTATGTTTTGTGACAGGTGTTTTTCCCTCCAGAAGAAATCTAATGACTCTAAATATATAATTAAAATGTGTTTATAAGGCACTGTGGAATACTTTGATTCTTTGACATACTGATGCTTGACTTCAAACTAATATTTCTACGTGCGTTCAACTCTCCGTAGCTTGAGCCTCATAATTAAATGGCAAGAGAGTTTTATTGGATAGTCGGCCAGTAATATAATGGAACTATGTCCAGAGAAATTCAGGAGATGGTTGAAACTACTGGCTACATTATCTGAAAACAGTAGGAAGCACGACCGAGCAGAGAAAGCAGAATGAACCTGGTGGCAGCTAATATGAGAGGAAAAGTTGCACACAATAACGTAGGTCAAGAAGATCGATAGATGAACTAAGTGGGCATGGAGATCCAGGAAGGAAGAGACAGGTAAAGAGCTTGTGGAAGCTACAGAAGAGCTTCAAAAAAGAGATGGAACCTAGCATGTTGCTCAGCAAACCCTCACAACAGTAAAGAAAGGGCCAATTTGTGGATGAATGGAAAGGGAGCCTGGAGAGAAGCCAAAGAGAACTCTGTCTCGGACACTAAATGACAGTATAGATGGTCTGAAAATTAGAAAGAAACATCTTGGCTAGAAATCATAAAAGTAGGTCTTACTGTATGTATCAAGTGTCTTGTACAAATTTTTTTTGAACCACAATGTTTTCTAGAAAAATAAAAAAAGGTGGTGCTGTGGTCCATACCAAAGTCTTGGCAAAAGTGTGTCTCTTATTAAAAACAAATATATTTTCTTATATCGTGCTGTGAGGATATTGTGGGATCATTGAGTATGTTGGCTGATAAGGGTTTGCCTTGAGGGGGCATGTTGAAGTCCTTTTTTAATCAGTTGGAGTTTGGAACTGTTAGAGAGAAGAAGGTTTGGTGTTAGTGAGAGCAAGTTTGGGTTTGAAGAAGATTGGGTCAGTCTTTTGTGAAGTATTCAGAGTAGCTATTGAGTAAACAGCTAGAATACTGTGTTGTGGAGCAGTACCCCGTTAGTGGTTTGTTCAATTCCTAAGGAAGTCTGGTTCAGGGTTTTTGGCTAGATTCTTAAGGGGCATTTTTGGGAGTTACATTCAAAGATTCATTTCCTGAAGTAATTTTCTGTGGTGGAACTGGTAACCAAGAAGTTTTTAAGATCTTTACTCTAACACAACCACAAGCTTTTTATGCCAGTATTTTACTGAAACCATTAAGCATTTGTACCTGAATAATTCAAGCTTGTTCAATAAACGTTCTTGTTATTTTTTTATCAACTTATACCAGCCTCAGTATGAATACCTTTTTGGTCAAAGTATTTTCTAAAAGTCAGCTTCACAGCAACCTCTAAGAATCTATAGTGGCACAGTGTGTGTTACAGAACAAACTCTCAATATTACCTCAACCTAATTAGTAACTGTAATGGTGGCAGCGGAAATCATTTGAAGTCTCTCAGTTCCAGTGGTTCCCAGTTCCTAACTTGTAAATATACAGTTGGGTTCAGCAACCATACTCCCTCATCCTTTTGTGAGCTTTATAATTTTGGCTAAGCGAGGGTTGGGATTATTTTATATATTTCCCTGTCTAAATAAATTAATTAAAATCTCTTCTCTACTACTCCTCGCTGCGTTTATTATATTTTGGTGAGAGCAGCGTTGTTGATTATTATAGTCCTCAATCTTGTTATTTAATAATTTAGTATACTTCTGATTTATAACTCAGAAGGCTTAGCTACACAGGAATCTTGGTAATCCCATTTTGTGAGTTCATTAATGGGGCAAGATGGAATTCAGCCCCTTTGTTCTAGATTCAGGAAGGTCTGAGCCTCTTCACACCATTCTTGGGCTCCATGTCTATATTTTTATGATTTCCAGCTGCAAACAGTAGCTTCTGTCTGTACTTGTAACATGCAATCGGTTTGTATTAATAGCAATATTATGTAATTTCCCATAGATTCTTACCTGTGTATTCAAGAGGACAAAGGCAGGAATACTTCCCTATCAGATTAATGCATGTGGCACCATTTAGGCAAGGATCGGAAACACATTCATTCACTTCCAGGTCACAGTGCTTTCCCTGGTAGCCTGGAACACAGTAGCAAGCATAGCCATTGATCCTGTCTTTGCAAACTGCTCCATTGAGGCAAGGGTTGGAAAGGCATTCATCAAGGTTAGTTTCACAGTAAGCACCCATGTATCCTTCAGCACAGACACAGACAAGGCCATTGAGACTCTCCAGGCAAGTGCCTCCATGCCTACAGAAATGCAAGTCACACGTACTGATGGTAGTTTCACAGGTGTTTCCAGTGTACCCCATGAGGCAGCTGCAAGTAAAGCTTGAGTTTCCTGCAGCACTCAAACAGGTAGCGTTATGGAGGCAAGGGCTGGAAGCACAAGGGTCCTTGGATATTTGGATACAATCTTCTGCTGAGATGCCACCCAGTGACACGTCTGGACAGTGGCAACCGCTCCCTTTTGCAGCAGCAGAAGCACCACTACACTCCGAGACCTTTTGGCAAGAGTTTGATAGGCATCTGGGATCATCTTTCGCACAAAGTGACTCTAGGAAAGAAAGACAATCATTAAGAGACAACTTTCAGGACATTCCAAACAGCAGTGTCACGAAATGTTTCAGATTGTCCGTCCTATCTTCTCTCCCTGCACAGCAACCCTCTTGCTCAGAGTTTAGGATGCTGTATGGTTTTGCGCACTTGTTGTCCTTGGGGGACATACAAATCCTGGCTTAACTTTTAGGATGGCCTCTTCTCGTATTTCCCAATGTGTAGGCACTCAAAAGTTTGCAAAGAACAACTAAACACCCACATGCAATATGGACTAAAAGAAGTAAAGAAAGCCTTGGGATTATTACAAAAACACATAGTTTAAATTCCAATTATTTAAATAGAATGGGCCAGGCTCAGTTTTTTTAAGTTGGGAGATAGCAGCCCTACAGTTGGCACAATACTTTCAGTGGGAAAAGCTGGCAAAAAAGTTCCTTGTGATTCATGCCTACTCCTCCCAATATATATTTTCTATCCCCCATATTCTCCCCACTCAATCCCTTTACTTGGAGACATATTGCCTCTTCATATACTATACATGGCCAAACCAGTGGGCATAAACTGGTGATCACCTCCCTCTTCTATATGATATCTAGCACTGTATTGGATGTGGATAAACACAATGAATCATATACTTAGATTTGCTGAGCAGTAAGAAGAGTGTGGAGGTGAATCTTTTAAGTAAGCTGACTCTCTATCACCTTTGATATGATTACTACGCATGAAAGTATGGAAGCATATGGAGGTTTTCTTTTTTACAACCTTGTATGTGTAGCACTGTAACTATAGTTATTTTAGGGGCTGTATAGGCAATGTGAAGTCCCTTAAGCCCTCCTTACTGGTAAGCAGCTCCTGGAATTGATGAGGCTCATTCCCATGTTGATCAAAAAGTGGCTGCCTGAACTTCTGAATGTATCTCCCCTTACGAACCATCGACGACTCTAAGATCGTCTGGGGAGGCCCTGCTCTCGGTCCCGCCTTCGTCACAAGTATGTTTGGCGGGGACGAGGGACAGGGCCTTCTCAGTGGTGGCCCCTCGGCTATGGAACACCCTCCCTAGGGAGATCAGATCTGCTCCCTCCCTCTTAATGTTTTGGAGGCAAGTTAAATCATGGCTGTTCGAGCAAGCGTTTACAAATGCAGAGTAGCTAATATAGGAAATTGAATGATTTGACAATGGAACTGGACAATGCTTGATAATAATGAGAAGCTAATGATGTTGTTTTTATTGCTTTTATGGTGTTTTATACTGTTTAATGTTTTAATCTATATTATGTTTTATGTATACTTATTTGTTGGAAACCACCTTGAGTCGCCGATTGGCTGAGAAGGACGGTATACAAATTTATTTATTTATTTATTTATTTATTTGGGGTGCTTCTACCCCGCCCTTCTCAACCCCCTAGGGGGGACTCAGGGCGGCTTACAAAAGGCACAATTCGATGCCTAACAATTACAACATACAATGCAATATACAATACACAAATTTACCACATAATATCACAGTTATAACTGATTAAATCAATCAGACAATATACTAGCAGCAATAAAAACATCTTGTGGCCAGCGTTCACCAAATCCAAGTCCGTAAACCATTTAGCATTGTCATTATCCTTTCCTACTCTGGTCATTATTGGTTGTCTTTGTCCCTCTGCCAGCTTACCCGAAGGCCTGGTCCCACATCCAGGTTTTTCGCTTCTTCCTGAAGGAGAGGAGGGATGTTGATGTACTAATTTCTCCGGGGAGTGCATTCCACAGGCAAGGGGCCACAGTAAATAAATAAGTAAATTCTTATAGGAGTTTTGGTACAACAGATAAAAAGGATCCCTATCACCAATTCACCTTGTGCCAGAGATTGGGGTGGAAATACCCGGCTGACACTTTTAATCAATAGGAGAGTGGATACCATTCAATCCCAGTCGTGCTGACCATTAATTGGGTTTTTGGAGTTCATGTTTAACTGCTTCTGAACAGAGTTCATGTTTAACTGCAATTCATGTTTAACTGCTTTTATAAATATATATTTAATGTTTACACATGTCCTAGTTTATTGTTTAATTGGTTTATTACTACCTAGTCCCCATTTCAATGGTTAATTCTTTCATTATAAGTTTATTGTTATTATTGTGCATTATTTTGTATAATTCCTGATATTGTTTGTAACTTTGAATTTTTGCCTGTTTTTGTATTGTAAACCACCCTGAGTCCCTTTTGGGGAGAGAAATAAAGTATTATTATTATTATTATTATTATTATTATTATTATTATTATTAGAATCCCTACAGAGGTGATGTAAGGATCGTGAATATAAAGTCGTTATGAATGTGTAACTAACTGCTCAACAAGATTCCACCCATTATCACTAATATCTACTTGCAAAACCAACACTTTCTTCTCTTTTTGTGGCTTAGGTCCAGACTATTTAACAAACCGCATCTCCCTCTACAGACCGACTCAGACACTGCAGTCATCGGAGGAGATTCTCCTCTCAGTTCCACCTCCGTCCCAAGCACAGCTGGTGGGAACGAGAGAAAGGGCCTTCTCCGTGGCTGCCCCCCACCTCTGGAACTCCCTTCCTAAGGAGTTAAAGATAGCCTCCTCCCTCCCTGCTTTCAAGAAAAAGCTAAAGACATACCTTTGCTCTCTGGCTTACGAGGAGGAGGAATAGTAGTTGGAAATACTACTATTATACCTCTGATTAATAGCTGCCGACTGTATCCGTGTCCTGCTCACCCCACCAGCTCAATAGATATCTTAAGCAATGATTAATCGATTTGTCCCAAAGAAATCGGAAATCAACGTTTCCATTTGATGTTGGATGTTTTGTCTTATGTCTGTTATAACAGGCTGTGCTTTTTATTTAATTTTAGTTTGTTAATTATAATTCATATTTGTATGTTGGGTTGTATAAATTTTGTTAGCATGGATGTATTGTTGTCGTATTCAGGCATTGAATGTTTCCTTTTTATGTTTGGAATCCGCCCTGAGTCCCTTTGGGGAGATAGAGCGGAATATAAATAATGTTTTATTCTTATTCTTATTATTCATATTGCAACCACAACTATTTTCCGCAATGGAGAGTGTGCGCACCATGTTACGCCAATGTCAGGAAAGTATATAGTCGCTAGCAGTCATCCAAAGAGCTGAAAGATCCTGAAAATAGTTAACCCCAAACAGACTAGTGAACAGCACATAACTGCATATCAAAATAAACCCTCTGTGCAGAATTAATGCAGTTTGACACCACTTCAACTGCCATGGCTCAATACTAAGGAATCATGGAAGTTTATTTATTTATTTGGAGTGCTTCTACCCCGCCATTCTCAACCCCCTAGGGGGGACTCAGGGCGGCTTACAAAAGGCACAATTCGATGCCCAACAGTTCACAAAATACAATATACAAAATACAATATAACAACAACAGTTATAACTAGTTAAAACAGTCAAATTAATACAATAGCAGCAATAAAATCATCTTGTGGTCAACATTAGTCAATTCATAAATCCATAATCCATCCAGCATTGTCATTGTCCTTTCCTACTCTGGTCATCATTGTCTTTTATCCATCTGCCAGCTTACCCAAAGGCCTGGTCCCATATCCAGGTTTTTAACTTCCTTCTGAAAAAGAGGAGGGATGTTGATGACCTAATTTCCCCGGGGAGTGAATTCCACAGGCGAGAGGCCACCACCGAGAAGGTCCTGTCCCTTGTCCCCACCAGTCTCACTTGTGATAAAGGTGGGGCCGAGAGCAGGGCCTCCCCAGAAGATCTTAAACTCTGAGGTGGGACGTAGAAGTTGTCGTTTTATAAGGTTTTTAGCCTTCACTGTAAAGGAATGCTGGTGTCTCACCAAACTACAAATCCGAGATTCAATAACATTGAGTCATGCCAGTTAAGTTGGCAACAAACTACATTAGTGTGTCTTGGAACAGTTTCTCCCCGTAGAGATGATCAATGTATTGTCGAAGGCTTTCATGGCCGGAATCACTGGGTTGTTGTAGGTTTTTCCGGGCTATATGGCCATGTTCTAGAGGCATTTCCTCCTGACGTTTTGCCTGCATCTATGGCAAGCATCCACTGAGGATGCTTGCCATAGATGCAGGCAAAACGTCAGGAGAAAATGCCTCTAGAACATGGCCATATACCCCAGGAAAACCTACAACAACCCAAACTACATTAGTTTTAGTGTAGATGCACCCTACGAATAAAAAGCTTTTGGGGAAGTAATCTCTCTCTTCATTCCAGCATCATATTGTATACAACTATGATAAATGTACACAATACAAGCATTGAGATGTACACAATACAAGCAGGAAGGACTAGGAATATGCTGTGAGATAAATGTTTGATAGTTTCCCAAATGTTAACTTTTTCAGCACAGGAAAGAAAGTATCCGATTCCACAGGCACTGCCTTTCTTGTGTGTTGTGACCTGCAATGTAAGTAACCCATGCCAGGGGGTAAAAGCATGCTGTGTGCCAGCACATGGGCTTCCTCATGCTTTAGTTGCAAACATCTGTTCTTCTGAACTAGAATATTGTCCCAATTAACACTGTCACAAGGAAGTGTAAAGGGTGTGATGCAGGAGGAAGATGGAAACCTGCAGTAATTCTAGGCATGAAATCTTGGCAGTTTTGCACCAGGAATCAGGAATATTTAAGTTTTCTTCCATTCACAACCAGTTAAGATCACTTAGCTGTCACGTACTTTGACAGAAATTCATCAAAAATTAATATTTAACATCCAAAAAATAAAATAATAAAATGCCGATCACTTTGGATTTAGACTGACTGACACATAAAGTAATTCCCCGAGCCTGTTTAAAAGGCATCATAACATTAACCTAATTACTTGAGGAATTAGTGCCAAACATTTTAGTCCATCCTGAAGGTCTTTTCATGTAACTGAGATGCTTGGCAAGAGGATCTTTTCCCCTTCGGAAAATGGAATATATTAGTTTCCTTCAAGAAGTATTTGTCCAAGGAGATGGCTGTTTACAGTA